TGAGGGATGCTTTACAACTCTCAAATGTGGGAATCTTTGAAATCATCTCACCAACATCATCATCAAAATCTCTATCACGTAGATTTCCTAATGCCTCGTCGGGGATAGCAGGAATAGGACAAACTTCTTCACGACAACGTTGTTTAACAACATTGAGAAACGCATCCGCTGCCAGTTTGATGTTATCTCCGGGATGGTCACTGGAATGTTGTTCAGTGCTGTAATACGGTCTCTGTACACATCTCCAATAAACTATATCATTACGTCTGGTCCTGACGGAAAACTTGTAGCCTGCATGAAGATAGTATCCACCACTTCCGTTTTCTATTATGTTGATGTTAACCTGTGCATTAGCCATCATGGAATATGAACGATTTGAAAATATGAAAATTAGCGCAAGACCTTTGATATGTTTTGTTTTAATTCAAATCCACCCAAGCCAAGAAGAAATGGTAACATCCAACCGAGCTTTGATGTCTTCTTTCATCACATCCATGTTTGAATTGATATGAGTTACAACAACACTAGTATATTAGGTAAACATTTAGGTACATAATTACATTCAATTTTCAGTATCCTCTCTATCCTGCAATAGGTCCAATGGGCCAACACATTACCTCTGATTTAATTTTTTTCTGAATATGATCATTCGGTATCTCCGTATCTCTATTAGTCAAAACTCACTTCGTGTAACATAATACCAAAGTACTATGGATTCAGATCGTTTCTTAACCAGAGTTAATATGTAATGTTTTAAGGTAATGTGTCTCCATGGGAATGGGATTGGCTTGATGTGGTGTTAATGAAAATGTTAGAGACCAGAATTAACATGTAATGCTTTATAGTCATGTGTCTCCATGGGAACGTGGCTGGCTTGATGTTGTGTTAATGAAAATGACCGAGAAACCAGAATTAACATGTTCACAATGATTGCAGGATTGTAGGAGGTCGGATACATGTTCAAACAGATATCAGGATTGTAGAAGGTCGGGGTACATGTTCAAACTTATATCAGGATTGTAGAAGGTCGGGGTACATGTTCACAATGATATCAGGATTGTAGAAGGTCGGGGTACATGTTCACAATGATATCAGGATTGTAGAAGGTCGGGGTACATGTTCAAACTTATATCAGGATTGTAGAAGGTCGGGGTACATGTTCACAATGATATCAGGATTGTAGAAGGTCGGGGTACATGTTCACAATGATATCAGGATTGTAGAAGGTCGGGGTACATGTTCACAATGATATCAGGATTGTAGAAGGTCGGGGTACATGTTCACAATGATATCAGGATTGTAGAAGGTCGGGGTACATGTTCACAATGATATCAGGATGTAGAAGGTCGGGGTACATGTTCACAATGATATCAGGATTGTAGAAGGTCGGGGTACATGTTCACAATGATATCAGGATTGTAGAAGGTCGGGGTACATGTTCACAATGATATCAGGATTGTAGAAGGTCGGGGTACATGTTCACAATGATATCAGGATTGTAGAAGGTCGGGGTACATGTTCACAATGATATCAGGATTGTAGAAGGTCACATGTTCACAATGATATCAGGATTAGAAGGTATCAGGATTGTAGAAGGTCGGGGTACATGTTCACAATGATATCAGGATTGTAGAAGGTCGGGGTACATGTTCACAATGATATCAGGATTGTAGAAGGTCGGGGTACATGTTCACAATGATATCAGGATTGTAGAAGAAGGTCGGGGTACATGTTCACAATGATATCAGGATTGTAGAAGGTCGGGGTACATGTTCACAATGATATCAGGATTGTAGAAGTACGGGGTACATGTTCACAATGATATCAGGATTGTAGAAGGTCGGGGTACATGTTCACAATGATATCAGGATTGTAGAAGGTCGGGGTACATGTTCACAATGATATCAGGATTGTAGAAGGTCTTATATCAGGATTGTAGAAGGTCGGGGTACATGTTCACAATGATATCAGGATTGTAGAAGGTCGGGGTACATGTTCACAATGATATCAGGATTGTAGAAGGTCGGGGTACATGTTCACAATGATATCAGGATTGTAGAAGGTCGGGGTACATGTTCAAACTGATATCAGGATTGTAGAAGGTCGGGGTACATGTTCACAATGATATCAGGATTGTAGAAGGTCGGGGTACATGTTCACAATGATATCAGGATTGTAGAAGGTCGGGGTACATGTTCACAATGATATCAGGATTGTAGAAGGTCGGGGTACATGTTCACAATGATATCAGGATTGTAGAAGGTCGGGGTACATGTTCACAATGATATCAGGATTGTAGAAGGTCGGGGTACATGTTCACAATGATATCAGGATTGTAGAAGGTCGGGGTACATGTTCACAATGATATCAGGATTGTAGAAGGTCGGGGTACATGTTCACAATGATATCAGGATTGTAGAAGGTCGGGGTACATGTTCACAATGGATTGTATATCAGGATTGTAGAAGGTCGGGGTACATGTTCACAATGATATCAGGATTGTAGAAGGTCGGGGTACATGTTCACAATGATATCAGGATTGTAGAAGGTCGGGGTACATGTTCACAATGATATCAGGATTGTAGAAGGTCGGGGTACATGTTCACAATGATATCAGGATTGTAGAAGGTCGGGGTACATGTTCACAATGATATCAGGATTGTAGAAGGTCGGGGTACATGTTCACAATGATATCAGGATTGTAGAAGGTCGGGGTACATGTTCACAATGATATCAGGATTGTAGAAGGTCGGGGTACATGTTCACAATGATATCAGGATTGTAGAAGGTCGGGGTACATGTTCACAATGATATCAGGATTGTAGAAGGTCGGGGTACATGTTCACAATGATATCAGGATTGTAGAAGGTCGGGGTACATGTTCACAATGATATCAGGATTGTAGAAGGTCGGGGTACATGTTCACAATGATATCAGGATTGTAGATATCGGGGTACATGTTCACAATGATATCAGGATTGTAGAAGGTCGGGGTACATGTTCAATTGTAGAAGGTCGGGGTACATGGTTGGGGTACATGTTACATGTTCATGATATCAGGATTGTAGAAGGTCGGGGTACATGTTCACAATGATATCAGGATTGTAGAAGGTCGGGGTACATGTTCACAATGATATCAGGATTGTAGAAGGTCGGGGTACATGTTCAAAATGATATCAGGATTGTAGAAGGTCGGGGTACATGTTCACAATGATATCAGGATTGTAGAAGGTCGGGGTACATGTTCACAATGATATCAGGATTGTAGAAGGTCGGGGTACATGTTCACAATGATATCAGGATTGTAGAAGGTCGGGGTACATGTTCACAATGATATCAGGATTGTAGATGGTCGGGGTACATGTTCACAATGATATCAGGATTGTAGAAGGTCGGGGTACATGTTCACAATGATATCAGGATTGTAGAAGGTCGGGGTACATGTTCACAATGATATCAGGATTGTAGAAGGTCGGGGTACATGTTCACACTTATATCAGGATTGTAGAAGGTCGGGGTACATGTTCACAATGATATCAGGATTGTAGAAGGTCGGGGTACATGTTCACAATGATATCAGGATTGTAGAAGGTCGGGGTACATGTTCAAACTGATATCGGGATTGTAGAAGGTCGGGGTACATGTTCACAATGATATCAGGATTGTAGAAGGTCGGGGTACATGTTCACAATGATATCAGGATTGTAGAAGGTCGGGGTACATGTTCACAATGATATCAGGATTGTAGAAGGTCGGGGTACATGTTCACAATGATACATGTTCAGGATTGTAGAAGGTCGGGGTACATGTTCACAATGATATCAGGATTGTAGAAGGTCGGGGTACATGTTCACAATGATATCAGGATTGTAGAAGGTCGGGGTACATGTTCACAATGATATCAGGATTGTAGAAGGTCGGGGTACATGTTCACAATGATATCAGGATTGTAGAAGGTCGGGGTACATGTTCACAATGATATCAGGATTGTAGAAGGTCGGGGTACATGTTCACAATGATATCTGGATTGTAGAAGGTCGGGGTACATGTTCACAATGATATCAGGATTGTAGAAGGTCGGGGTACATGTTCACAATGATATCAGGATTGTAGAAGGTCGGGGTACATGTTCACAATGATATCAGGATTGTAGAAGGTCGGGGTACATGTTCACAATGATATCAGGATTGTAGAAGGTCGGGGTACATGTTCAAACTTATATCAGGATTGTAGAAGGTCGGGGTACATGTTCAAACTTATATCTGGATTGTAGAAGGTCGGGGTACATGTTCAAACTTATATCAGGATTGTAGAAGGTCGGGGTACATGTTCAAACTGATTGAAGGATTGTAGTAGTTATAGGGTAGAGTTCCAACTTGTTTTAAAGTTAAATCAGTGTTTAGAGTTGAAGTGCTCTGATGTGCAATTAAAATGTCACATAACATATTGTTCGTTAGGTTGTCTTCATTTTATAGCGTGGTTGATTTTTGCACTTAAATAATGACATTGACATTGTTTCTAAATTTTTCAGCTAATAATTTTAAATCTAACACTTAATGAAGCTGAAAAAGAATTTAAAGCTTTTGTAAAATGGATACTTATACAATTATAGAATATATTTATTACACCAGTCTCAGTATACAATGTTTTCAAAAGGTTCAAATTAAAAAAAATATATTATGACATCTAATTAAATAATAACAGGAAATGAAAAAACTTCACAAAGGACAGGCTTAATAAGATTATAACACTCATCATACAGTAGAATTAAGTCCTATCTTATAAAGACTGAAGTATTAAATATATGGTTGGTAAGAAGCATAATCACAGACAATAACTGATCAAATTAAAACTAACAATTACCTCAGTAAAGTTACTGAAATGCCAAAACAACATATGAACATACCCATGGAAATATCACTGGAGTTGGTACATAGATGTGTTTGTTGAGGAGGAGCAGAGTGGGATTACTAACTGTGTATATAACAGGAGAAAATAAGTAAATATCACCAAATTTAATGTTCATTTTCTGACAATGAAATTAAGTGCTGCATGGTTGACATACAAGTGTATAAATACTGTTGCTACAGAATCTATCAGGAAACAGTCAAGTCTTCTTTAGTATACCATTAACCACCATAGCAACATTTCATTTTCAGTTGGATAGATAAAAAAGGATTTTCTCATAACTCAAAATATCTTTCTTGGTGTATCATTTTTTTAAGTACAGTGAGCAATTTTTCATTGATATTGTAAAATAATATCACACATCTGTTATTCTCAAATGATGTAATAGCTATTTTTGTTTTCATTTTGTGTTTGCAGACAAATGCAACCCTCAAAATTTAATAACTGCTTGGTTTAAGATGGAAATACAAATTGTACAACCCTATAGTACATCTGATTTAAATCAATCAAGCTAGTACAACCCTATAGTACATCTGATTTAAATCAATCAAGCTACATGAATTGTATTTTGTTTTGATCATGAATAAAAAAGGCAAATACATCAATTCTAATTCATTTTAGTTGCAGCACATTTAATGGGCAAACAAAAAACAAAAAAACCCCACATTTTTCAGAAGTATAAACCTTAATAAATTCCTCATTTGCGATTACTTTAGAGACCCTGATCTTACATTTTTCCTACTCTCAGTTATACCTATGATACATGTGCACCGTTTGGAACATGGAAGGCCAGCAGTGTAGATACTGATGATGAATTTCTACAGATGTGTTTCTGGCTAGTACTGATGAATACAATCAATAGACAGAGAATCCTACCATTTGTACAGTGTAGGTCTGCACTGCTAACAGGATTACTAATCGCAGTGACTGCCACCTTAGTCTGTTACCTGGTAGCTGCAATGCCCAATTACAACTGGAAATAGGCAACAAAAACACATATAAAAGGCATGACCTTTCCAGTTAAATCAGTGGTAGTAGTAAATTTGTAATGTGATACATGTGTATACTTTCATTAAATCAATGTTCAAGCTCAGCATTGGTTCAATTCATGGATATCAATTTAGCATCTGATACATGAATTTCAGTCATTAGCACAACGTTACATGCACAAGAGTATCAACCTTGGTATATACACCCTACATGTACAATCTTCCTTCACTCACATCAATGAACACCAGGAGTTGTAATGTGTCTCGTGTCATCAATTTGACTTCCTTGTTGAGAACAATACACTTCAGAATAAAACACCTATTCAGAAATCCAATATTGGCCCAGCTGTTAAAATGTGCAAGGCTAGTAACAAATCATATGCCTCCTGTTTTTTTTAACTAGCATTTCATTGTGTCAGTCTTCATCTGAGTCATCAAGCACTCTTCTTTTAAACTGAAAAAAAAATGAATATTTTGAGGACTTGAGATTTCAAAATTTTTCACCTAATTTCAGCTTCAAATATACATATTAATATTTCTTGTATGTAATGAATAATTTCATGCTGAAAGACTAACATCACAGAGTTTTATATTTTAAGAATGATTTCATTCCTTCATTTGAACAACTATAAATATGAATGTTACTTTAACTTCATACGAGTTAACTATTGTCCAGATATATTGACACTAGACTAATGACCAGCAATGTGCAGGAATAAAGTGACTACAGAGATGACCACCGGTGTCCAGAAATACAGTAACTAGAGTGATGACCACTAGTGTGCATAAATACAGTCCCTAGAGAGATGACCACTAGTGTCCATGAATACAGCCTCTAGAGAGATGACCAATAGTGTCCATGAATACAGCCCCTACAGAGATGACCACTAGTGTCCATATATACACTCACTAGAGAGATGACCACTAGTGTCCATATATATACTCACTAGAGAGATGACCACTAGTGTCCATGAATACAGCCACTTGAGAGATGACCACTAGTGTCCATGAATACAGCCACTTGAGAGATGACCACTAGTGTCCATGAATACAGCCACTTGAGAGATGACCACTAGTGTCCATGAATACAGCAACTTGAGAGATGACCACTAGTGTCCATGAATACAGCCACTTGAGAGATGACCACTAGTGCCCATGAATACAGTCACTTGAGAGATGACCACTAGTGTCCATGAATACAGCCCCTACAGAGATGACCACTAGTGTCCATGAATACAGCAACTTGAGAGATGACCACTAGTGTCCATGAATACAGCCACTTGAGAGATGACCACTAGTGTCCATAAATACACTCACTAGAGTGATGACCACTAATGTCCATGAATACAGCCACTTGAGAGATGACCACTAGTGCCCATGAATACACTCACTAGAGAGATGACCACTAGTGTCCATGAATACAGCCACTTGAGAGATGATCACTAGTGTCCATGAATACAGCCCCTAGAGAGATGACCACTAGTGTCCATGAATACAGTCCCTCAAGAGATGACCACTAGTGTCCATGAATACAGCCCTTAGAGAGATGACCATTTGTGTCCATATTTACACTCACTAGAGAGATGACCACTAGTGTCCATGAATACAGCCACTTGAGAGATGACCACTAGTGTCCATAAATACACTCACTAGAGTGATGACCACTAGTGTCCATGAATACAGCCACTTGAGAGATGACCACTAGTGCCCATGAATACACTCACTAGAGAGATGACCACTAGTGTCCATGAATACAGCCCCTAGAGAGATGACCACTAGTGTCCATGAATACAGCCACTTGAGAGATGACCACTAGTGTCCATGAATACAGCCACTTGAGAGATGATCACTAGTGTCCATAAATACAGCCCCTAGAGAGATGACCACTAGTGTCCATGAATACAGTCCCTCAAGAGATGACCACTAGCGTCCATGAATACAGCCACTTGAGACATGACCACTAGTGTCCATGAACAGTCCCTAGAGAGATGACCATTTGTGTCCATGAATACAGCCCCTAGAGAGATGACCACTAGAGTCCATGAATACAGTCACTAGAGAGATGACCACTAGTGTCCATGAATACAGCCCCTAGAGAGATGACCATTTGTGTCCATGAATACAGTCCTTAGAGAGATGACCACTAGTGTCCATGAATACAGCCACTTGAGAGATGATCACTAGTGTCCATGAATACAGCCCCTAGAGAGATGACCACTAGTGTCTATGAATACAGTCCCTCAAGAGATGACCACTAGTGTCCATGAATACAGTCCCTCAAGAGATGACCACTAGCGTCCATGAATACAGCCACTTGAGACATGACCACTAGTGTCCATGAACAGTCCCTAGAGAGATGACCATTTGTGTCCATGAATACAGCCCCTAGCGAGATGACCACTAGAGTCCATGAATACAGTCACTAGAGAGATGACCACTAGTGTCCATGAATACAGCCCCTAGAGAGATGACCATTTGTGTCCATGAATACAGTCCTTAGAGAGATGACCACTAGTGTCCATGAATACAGCCACTTGAGAGATGATCACTAGTGTCCATGAATACAGCCCCTAGAGAGATGACCACTAGTGTCTATGAATACAGTCCCTCAAGAGATGTCCACTAGTGTCCATGAATACAGCCCTTAGAGAGATGAAAACTTGGGGTTTAAATTGGGAAAAAAAGATACTTTTATGCATTGGGAATGGGGCTGAATATTGGCCCCAAATCTGGCAGATCGAGAACCCTGTGATCAGACGCCATTCTATATCATAACTATATGCATCTTTTCCACACAAGTCTTGTGTAAGATTTAATGATGATTTCAACATAAAACTTTCATGGCAGATCTTTACCTAAAACGAGATCCTGGTAGAACCCCAAAACTAGTGATAACTGTACAGAGGATGAAAAAAGCTAATCCAAATACAAAAAACCAACTGGTTTGAAAAAATATTGAGAAAAACTCTGACATTGTACATGCGAAGTTTGAAGTTATACTTTAAAACAAGACCATGCTACATGTATTTAGAATTTTCTGTTTCATGTGTTATTCTACCATTTTATGTTGTTATCTGGTATAAATCACTTAAAAAACTGTTTTATATACCAAATTAGAGAAAATCAGAAATGTACAGGAAATTATCTGACAGAAAACTAACATATTCAATCTTCACTTCATACGTGTCCAAACAGAAAAATCAGCAAATTTCAATACAGTGATTAGAAAGCTAATAATTTTGACTGGTTAAATCTACAAAAGTTCCATCATAATTGGAATAGTCTTTCTTTCATCATCACAGGAGTGATGGTTAAGTTCTTGTCACACTATTGAATTCTTAAATTTCATGAGCAAAGTGTAATAAATAGTTATACTACAGAATAATTCGGTTTGATGTAGTCAGCATAGCCTTTGAAGTATAGAAAATATGAAAAAACAAAACATATCTTAATCTGAAATGGACCCCATTTTGAAATATTTAGAAAAAATCCTGTACATTGTACTATCATTATTATCAGACAGCAATCTAGAAGCTTGATGGTATATGAAAATCTTGAAAAAAAATGAATACACTGGATTCCACTGCTTATGAATATGGATCACATTAATTAATTTTATACAACAGCCTGTTATCTCAACAGAAAATCAATCATCAGTGCCCGTAATACACATAACTAGTGCACAAGGTGGTCTATAGGAATATTTTTTCTATAGATTTGTATAGCAATATAGCAGATTAAAATAGCATCCACTTATGTGTACTGATAGACAATCTGAAGTATATGTCTGATACCCTGGTAGTGGGACTTATGTGTACTGATAGACAATCTGAAGTATATGTCTGATACCCTGGTAGTGGGACTTATGTGTACTGATAGACAATCTGAAGTATATGTCTGATACCCTGGTAGTGGGACTTATGTGGACTATGCCAAAAACTGATCATGGTCAGCGATTTATTTCCCTTTTCTACAGCCAAAAAAACTAAATCTTGTTTCCTCAAAAGATCTTAAAGGTGTTTTATGATGTAAAAACAAATAAAGAAAATCCTCTGAGGTTCCAATTCCAGCTGGCACAAGCTGTAAATGAAGTTAGATTACAGTAATGAAGTACAGCCATCTTCAGATTTGACAAAATATACCTAGTGTTATCACTGATTGAATCCGTAATAACTGAACACAGAAGCCCTGATAACATCAATGTAGGTGACCGAGGTGTAGACTGAAAAAAAAGAAACTGCACTTTGAAGTGGTTATTGTATCTTTAACCAAAAAAGTTAAATAATGCTTCAAGTTTGTCTGGAAAATAAAGAAATCAAACATTGAGCCGGTGATTCAATCTTTAAATGTATTTATGCCAAAGGGAGAAACTAAAGAAGTTTAGAGTGAAATGGGATCATTTACAAACATATAATCTACCTATACAATATATACCTTCACAGTCGTCTTCTTCTGTGTCTGTTCACTGACTCTCTCCAGCAAGCCTTTCAGCTGGTCTTCACCAATCTGAAATCAAATCAGTGCATTTCTATGTGCTGATTGTAAAGCCTCAGGGCAGCTGATGATAACAACATTGTTTATGACAATGAAATGAAAACAATTTACAATTACAAATGAAATCAATACAATATATCACTAACAGTTTACGAAAACGTAAAATTTCAATGTTTTTTCCTGATCTGAGTCAGATATCCAAAGATGTATCACCATAATATACAGAATTTGGTTGCTATATCTGTTATACACTTTAAGAAACTGTTTCAACACAACTCCTTAACATAAGGTGTCGACTCCAAGCACAAGGCTGATGGAAAAGTTATAACTATGTCTTGATTTTGTTGCTTTGTCATGGTAACTAGACCTTGGAGTCTGCTTGTATGTCTATTATAGTATATGAAGTCTGTTATAATATCTGTATATCAATACTGAGGATCATGTTCTAAACTGGAGGTAAAACATATCTCATAGACTCAGTCTTTCATTTTTCAAAATGGAACCAATCTTACCTTGTTTTGGATCTGCCCTGATTTAGCCATCTGTATCAGCATATTTTCTACCATTTTTGCCTTTTCAGGTTTGGCAACAGCTATGGTGTTTACTGCAATTAGTTGAAAAGTTAAGTGACTCAATTTAATACAATATTATTGGAAGTAGTAAGTATTACAGGGTTATCTCCCTTATTTGCAAGTTTTGTTCCCTAACTACATAATTCCTATCCTCTTCTTGGACGCTGAAATTTGTAACTGGTCATGACTTGTTAAAAGCAACAAGAGGTTCATAAATGAATATGCCCAAGATTTTTTAGAAGATATCCTGATGATAAATGGATATTCTGCACAAGTTAGCAAATTTCTCAGAAACAACTCTTTCTAATGACTTTTAAAATATTGTCAGCATTAGAATATCTTTCCTAGCTAGTATCAGTTTGGACAGGCAGATTTGGTGGAAATATTGGGTAGATACACATATCTGTATGATGTTATATTGATTTCTAAAAAAATAAGCATATCACATACACTGTAGCTATTAGAACATGTATTTTATAACTTAAATTAAATATTAACTGATATATAGCTGATACAATTCAATTTTTTTTAAAATTTCATTTTGTTCCCAAATTTTTCACATTTACATATATCATAATACAGATGTAGGACTGCATTAACAAAACAAAATGTTTGCACAATGCCTATAAATTCATGATTTCACACAATAGGATCACACATTTGAACCGATGGTTTCAACTGGTCTATCAATGTTATGGATTGGAAAAATAAACAGAGGACTTGAGCTTGTGTACTAATAATGATCAGAATAGTATTGGTCATGATCGGTCATTAACAATCAGGCATAGTTAAAAACATAAACAAGAGTTTTTTGAGGTCAACACAATGACCCATCCAGTTTATCTTCTTTTAAAAAACCTAAATTATAGCTAAATATAAAATAGTGATGGGAAATCGCTTAAAATCCATAATCAATTATTAGTTAAAATCTGATAGGCTTTCCTATGTTCTTTATTTATTATATAATCTGCTGTGTAATCAACATTCACTAAAAGTGAATACATTTTTCATTAAGGAAAGATTTTCTTCTTTTGTAACTTTAACTTAAATTACCGTATTCACCTAGAACTGACATCAGAATGAATATCACCGGGAATTGGAATCCTTATTATGCATAATATAAATGTTGTTTTTGATAAATCATGAGAAAATACTAAGGTACTGATGCTTGATTATGAGGTTAAATGATTATATCACCATTTTTTTCTGAACATCATCCCATCACTAGTAAGTTATATGCATTTCCTGTAAGATGTCACAGTGAAGAACATATCAACTCACATCTTGCCCGAGCAGGCTGGTCAAGCACTTGACTGAGGATACTGTGTTTCATGTCAGCCATCTGTCTTGCCTTTTCCATCTGCTCCTCTTGGGATGGCCCTCCACCACCTCCACCACCGCCCTGTTGTAAAAGTAAACCAGTGAGTATCACATTAAACCTCTTGTTAAACTTACACATACATAAAATCAGTGTACATATATACTGTAAATACTAAATTTTCATAAAATGTTTCAGCATTCCCCTCGTCAGCCCCAAAACAATGAATTCTCATTCAACAGTACACACAAGTCTTCAAGTCTGACAACCTGATATCCAATTCTAACATTGTGTCACAAACAAACGTAAAATGTCATTTATAAATTGAAGAGCAAATTCATAGTTTTTGTGGCACTTACATGATTTCGAGATTTATCCGATTCACATACTACGTGATGTGTCTCCTTTACAAATGATGCGTCTTCTATATAAATGTTTTAAGAGCCATCAGATTTACATAAATGATTTTCTCCTATAGATGTTACAGATTTATCAGATCTTAATCTTAAAAACAAATCTAAAGGGCCTACACATGTATGAAGCATACCTCAATATTTATGCAATCATGGCTACTTTTTTCCAATAGAATTTACAACTTTATAATCACTTTTCAGTTTACAGGAGACAACATTCAATATAAAGTATATATGTGTTGGTAATATGTTCAGGATATAGATGTACCAATGACTATGGCAAAATGAGCTGATATATATATAGTCAACTTTTTTTAAATGTTTGAAATGGGATGTTTTTAAAGACTGATATATTTTTTACCCAGTTTTAAACCAATTAAGTGGCAAGCCCCTCATGTTCAGACTTATGATCCTGATTATACAAACCAAATGATCTTGGTTTTGTTCAAGACAAGAATGAAAGTATTAGTAAGCCAATATGTGTCATGGGTGATACAATATACTACTGGGAAATGGTTGGTCGATGTCCCTTCCGGGACATTCTAGTAGAACTTGACCAAAGGAAGGCAAGAACACATAGAACACAGATTGAGAATCAACACTAGGAATTCTGTGACGTTTATTTTTTATTATTTACATGACTTGAATGGCTAGGCCATCATCAGGTACTGCTTTAAGTGAAATTTAGATTTTTATAGTTACTAGTAACAGGGTTTAAAGTTCATGGATGTATCAGCAAAATTAAACATTTTGACAATTATGTAGAATTTGTATCTCAGTTGTTTCAATATATGTATTTTAAGACCTTCTTCCCATGTGTGACATGAACAATGAAATAACTTCAACAAGACAATTCGGTTAATTAAATGCACCCACTAACACACACTGTCTGAATCCATACCCAAACTAAGAAGTTCCAGTGACAAATATTATAGAAGATTTAGCCCAGACAAACTTTTTCTCTGATGAAGTTCAAATGTCAAAATGTTGGTCACAACGACCAACCTATACTACCGTACATGCCTCACTGAGGAGATCCAATATCCAAAGTATTAAGTTTCCCTGATAAGTTGGGTCAAGAGAAAGTTTTTTATGTAGGTTAAAGGTCAAAGTGTATGTAATAGTGACCTATTTTTGATACATGACACACCAATTCAACAAGGTGAAACCATATCCTATGTTTGAAGTTCCCTTGATACATGTAAGTAGTGAAGAAGATATGGCATGGACAATCATTTTCTTTGATGTAGGTAAAAGGTCAAAATGTAGGTCATATGTACAATAACCTACTTTTGATATGTGACATACTGTGTTATCAAGGTGAACCCATTCCAAATAAAAGATCTCCTGATTAGTAGAGATAGGACCTGGAAAAACCTTTCTCTGATGTAGGTCAAAGATCAGATTGACCTTACTTTTGATACACAACACATTGTCTCACCAAGGTGAACCCTATCCCAACTATAAAGTTCCTGTGGTTAGTAGTGTAGAAGATATGGCATTGAAAAGATAGCAGAAGGATGGAAGGATACAATGTGAAATATACTGTCCTCTGTTTCCTGGTGGGAGACTAATCAAATACAAAATGATATATATATATAGCATTAATATCACTGTAAATGCTGAAAACACCACTTAGCTACCTATTTACACTGAGATCAATCTACAGATATTTTCACGAGTCCTTTTAAAATCTATTGCTAAAACAATGGGCCCCACAAGGAAAAATTGAAGTAGTTCCAGAAATTCCACGAGTCCCATCAAAATTATACGAGTAAAGGACTGTTAACATGTCTGAGTTTGTATGTTTGTGTCCAAGCAGACAAAAACAATGTACAAATGAAATTCTAATTGATTTTTCGGTAGTGTTAAAGGATGAACGAAGAGTCGAGGCGATATCTCCACCAAGCTCCCAGATTTCCTTGTATTAATCTTGGAAATATCACAACTGATTGATCACAACTGGGACTAACCAGACCTGAAGTTTCCATCTTTCAAATTGTTAGACTTTCTAACTTTGAAAATGTACTGTAAACTGTTTACAGCATGTGAATTTTTGAAATGAAGTGATAACTTAATAGTTGTGAATGAAGTTATTTCTTCATTTCAGCAGTGAAATAAGAGCGATGATGAACAATGGTTATAAATGATAAAAGTCAGCAGCCTCAAACGAAATTTCTTTTTCAGTATCTTATTTGTCATTTTCAATATTAGAGAGTGATGATAGCATAAAAAATATTAATATTTTTTTTATTATACAACTTTACAAAAATGGTTATAGAAAATTACATGAATTTATGATAATCACTCTTATTGGCAAAGGATGCTAGCTAGTATGATAGGGTTTACTGTGGGAGGTCAGCAGATCTTTAGTGCCCAAGGAAAACCATTTATGTCTGGCAGATGACCCCATACAAGTACATATACCTTGGTATGTCTGATCATGGAATCCATCCAAAGACACAGCGAAAAGTGAGTGTTTTACTACTCCACCAGCTGACCATGTTCCCTGTCATCTTATTTATAGATCTATAGTCATAAGTATTTAATTCTATAAATTTACCTATGGTTGTAAACATATTGGTGTTATATTTCAGATCAATACACTCAAGTGTTAAAGGATGAACGAAGAGTCAAGGCAATGTCTCCACCAAGCTCCCAGATTTCCTTGTGTTAATCTTGGAAATATCACACCTGACCAGTCACGACTAAGACTAACCAGATCTGAAACTTGACTTTTCCTACTGGCAACACTACAAATCTATAAATAAAATGAACAATGCTTATCCATTACTGTTAATGTCTTTCTTATATTCAATAAGCTTTTAACTTTTACTTTTGGTTGTTGTTCAAGTGACTACTATCTTATCCAATACAATATATCACTCATTTATTTTTTTATAAGTTTCAATCACAATGCACACCAAGTGTCATCAGTGATTACTGGTGACATTTGGTATGTGTTGTAATTAAAACTTACTTGAAATAATTTTGATATTTTAATTCACTACCACCCTGCATACCTTTCGGTATCTACATCTCATGCACAGTGCCCCACTTATAAACCAACTCACTCTGAACTGATGTTTGCTCTACCCTTTCTCATTATTCTTTTCTTTGTTACTCTTTTTGGTTTTGTTGCCCTTTAAAAATCTATACACACAAAACTTGTCTAGAGAGTACTATCTGACTAAAAAGAATCTTTTAAATGTATTTTTGCTTTTTCTCACTAGAACATCCCATCTCTTGTACCTAAAGATACATGCTTTCTCTATATTGCATGATTGTTACAACTAGGTAACAAAATATGAGGCTCTTTTCTTTGGACTTCCTGAACAACTTTCTTATGTAGATTTGTCTTAAGACTTTTGGTTTGAATGTTTGCTAATTAGTTAAAAGGATGGTTATGGGATTTTGTCCCCAGAAGGAGACAAACTCAAAGTTTATCGAAACTGTACTTGTCTCTCTATATGTGCTGTAAGATTTAAATGAGGCAGAAGGATGGACTTGTTAAAATAAAATACAATTGATTATGTGGGTTATCAAATGCTCTGACATGTTTAACAGAATCTGTGAGCACAATTATATGTTGTACCTGTATCAATTCCTGACAGTATATACGAACCAACTAACAGTAGATTCAGTCGTACAATTAGTCCTATAATATATGCTGTTGAAGGTTCATATCATGATATTTAACCTTCATCATATCATCAGATATCTCATATCAATGTCATTGCCAAATCTAGAAGTTAAACAATAACATAAATATCAAATACTTGATAATGAAATCATGATACAGAAGGCATACATCCATATAACAGGACTATAGTATGATGTAATATAATGGTGTCACTTGCACTAACAAATTACTTATTTCTCTAGTTCTGAGGACGGCATACCTAGTGTGCCGAAACTAGTCAACTAATAAAGTTACAGAAGATCTTCATTGGCGTTGTCTGGTCCTGCTTACTGATTATTTCTTTATTGTTAAAGGATGAACGAAGAGTCAAGGCAATGTCTCCACCAAGCTCCCAGATTTCCTTGTGTTAATCTTGGAAATATCCCAGCTGATCAGTAACAACTAAGACTAACCAGACATGAAGTTTGACATTTCCATTTACAGAACTCAAATTAAGAATTGGTCAGTGTACACTAAAACTGTCATCCTAAACATTACTAATACTAAATCACCAACCCGGTACATCTCATGTGGCATTTATTTTGGCATTAGTACATGAAGGAGAATCGATGACATCCTTGTTATTCCATCGTTAACTTACTCTTACTTCTGTTGAAGCTATATATACCTTATCATTTTATCACGAAGAAATTTGCTAGAATTATTACTAACATCATTAGAACTTTTAACAACATCCATGTATCGCTTACTGCTGAACTTCCTTCATTCAAATGCACATCTATAGGTCAGAGGTCCCCAATGTCGAGCATGTGTGCCACAATAGATACGATTGTAAATTTTAGTGCTATTATTGTATTGGAAAGGTTCTAAAATATCTTCAGTAACATATCTGTTCTTATCAAATTACATAACAAGTTGTAGGAAAAACCGTCAAGGAAATAACCACTTGGACAACAACTGTATAAATATATATAAACACATTACAAAGCATAACATTAAAACACTGCACAATACATCTCGCCAGTTTAATTCCTGTCATCTTATCTTGAAACAACTCACTTCACTCATTCGTTTACTGTCTACATACCAGGCTAGACCAGTGTTAAGTTCAGGAAATATAGCCAGATAAAGTTTGTCTACCTCTGAACTGACTGATGGACAGAAAAGGTATTATTGCAAGATGACACACATCAAAACAATTGTTACACACAGAGATATAATTCTACATGTACACTTCAATTGATACAAAGATACAAAAAGGCAATTTTATGAATTATGCATATTATAGTGCCGTCCAACCATCCAATTCAAATAGTAAGTGAAACAAGACTAGAAAAAGTTTAGATTGAGAGTAATTGATTTTATCCAAAAAAAAAAAAAAAAATGTATGCTGGAACTATTCGCCCACTGCCCTCACCGGGGGTTTACAGTTACATACTGCAATCAAGGATGGCTAGGTATATATCACTGTTAGATGATTTACAGGATCAGGCAAGAATAGTGCCGTTTTAATGATTTTTAAAATTTCTTTTGCATTGATATCATCATATGGTATACATTATGAATAGTTTTTAAGGAAAAATGGAGACTTATTACATAAAACACTCATATCTGTTTTGGTCGCGCAAGACCGAAAGACGATTTGCAGGATCGGACAGAATTATATCATATAGTTAGTTTGTGTAGGTAGGTTTTATCACAATGTGAGCTGGGCGAATGGAGGTAACTCTATATCATGTGCAATCTACATTTGTTTATAATGCGAGTCTTGTATGAAATATGTGACATATTGTTACCATGTCATACAGGTAATCATTTGTGTATACATTTTCCAATGTGAGCCCACATTTACTGGGCTCACATGGCCGCAAGTAAAGGCGATCGGTCGTTTTTACTCGACAAGGCGTCGACCGATCACAACGCCTACTAGGCCACCGGACAGTTAGAGAAAGAGGATTTCGTAGACGTGTAATCCAATCATTGAGTCGATATAGAGCGATTTAACCATGCCCGGCGGTGGATCAGGCAGGTCGGGGATAAGTCCTGATTCCAGGTGTGATTCACGCACGTGCGTTGAGTCAAGGACTGGAGCAAGTTGGACAATTTCGGCCCGTAATTTAGCAATGTTTTGGAAATATATTTCGTGTAGATCAACACTTAACATCAACTCATATAATTCAAAAGTAAACGAACCCCATATTGGGCCTGCATCTCTGCCATACGACGGGCACGAATACTTTCCAATTCGTCGTCTTCCATTTCTGTTTTTGGTATTTTGTGTGAAGTTCCGGTGATAGTAATATACGAACCGATGATCTGTGAATATATCCGGATATGTATTGTTCCGTTGTATAAATTCCTTATTCTTACATAGCTGGTACAGTATTACATTTCTACATGATACATGCCCATATTGACTAGACATGACGACTGAAATAGCGCATTTAAAAAACTTTACTCTCTGTCAACGATTCGCTTTCAGAAGTCAGCATTCCCGGAGTATTTCCGGTCTGTTTATTAGATTACACAACAAAGTGACAACATAACATGGCGAGTGGAAAAGCACATGGAGCCGGTAACGTGTTGGAGAATTTCAAGGATAATCTTGACCTTGTCATCAAACAGATCAAAGGTATGGACATTTAAATTAATAGTTTAATGTGGTATTTTTTATGTATTCAATTAGAATGGACATTCCCTGCAATGATAATCAGCTGTATTCAGCATTGTAACGCACACGCAGTGGCCAACCTTTTAGGTTTTACCCTGTTACCTGTGCAGTTTTGTACAGATATGAAAAATAGGAAGACCAGGTAACTCAACAGAGATCCAGGTAATGTACAGAACTACAAATGAACAATATCTAGATAATCTAAAGACCTACACAGAAATCTAGATAATATATCTATAGAGAACTGTAGATACTCTAAGAGACCTACATGTATAAGAGGTCTGGGTAAAGATATACACACACGTCTAGATAATGTAGATAGCTACACAGAAATCAAGATTATATATCTATAGAGAACTGTTTATACTCTAGAGACCTATAAGAGTTCTGGGTATAGATATACACACACGTCTACATAATCTTGAGAGGTACAAAGAAGTGGAGATTATATAGAGAAGTATATGAAGATTAAGAGAACTCCACAGGTCTAAGTGATAATGAGAACTACGCAGAGGTCTGCATGTAGATAATCTGTCAAGAACTGTACAGAGATCTAGGTTATCTAGAGAATCATACAGATGTCTAGATAATCAAGAAAACTATACATAGGTCTAGGTAATCTATAGAGCAATACAGAGGTCTAGATAATCTAGAGAGCAATACTGAGGTCGAGGTTATCAAGAGAATCATACAGATGTCTAGATAATCAAGAAAACTAGGTCTAGGTAATCTATAGAGCAATACAGAGGTCTAGATAATCTAGAGAGCAATACTGAGGTCGAGGTTATCTAGAGAATCATACAGATGTCTAGATAATCAAGAAAACTAGGTCTAGGTAATCTATAGAGCAATACAGAGATCTAGATAATCTAGAAAACTATACAGAGATCTAGATAATCTATAGAGCAATACAGAGGTCTAGGTAAACTAGTGCGGTATATAGAGATCAAGATAATCTATAGAGCAATACAGAGGTCTAGATAATCTAGAGCGGTATATAGAGGTCAAGATAATCTATAGAGCAATACAGAGGTCTAGATAATCTAGAGTGGTATATAGAGGTCTAGATAATCAATAGAGCAATACAGAGGTCTAGGTAAACTAGTGCGGTATATAGAGATCAAAATAATCTATAGAGCAATACAGAGGTCTAGATAATCTAGAGTGGTATATAGAGGTCAAGATAATCTATAGAGCAATACAGAGGTCTAGATAATCTAGAGTGGTATATAGAGGTCTAGATAATCAATAGAGCAATACAGAGGTCTTGGTTATCTAGAGCAATATAGAGGTCTAGATAATCTAGAATGGTATATAGAGGTCAAGATAATCTATAGAGCAATACAGAGGTCTAGGTTATCTAGAGCAATATAGAGGTCTAGATAATCTAGAGAAGTATACATATATCCAGATAATTAAGCTAAAGAACTATACAGATTGAGGTCTAGATTAACTTAAAATGTACACAAATATTTATTTTATTAAGATAATGTTTCTTGATACTTTGTTATAAGAGAATTTGATGTTTGAGAGTTAACATGTGTTCTGCAGATGGTGAAACTGAACGAGAATCTGATGATACTTTTGAAGCAAAGCAGTATTGGATGAAAATTGGTAAGAATGTCTTATTGCTTATTCAGTTGAAAGTAATAATGCTAGCTTTGGAATAAAAACAGAGCAGTACCACTACTGGTTTTATTGATATTTACTTAGAGATCAACGAAATGTTACCAATATTGTGTCCATATGTTCTTCAAATATTTCAAAGCTGTGAAGGTGATATATACATTAATAATGGTTATAAGCTTTTGCTAGGGTTTTCGATAAATTTGTGAAAATACTTGTTGTCGTGAATAGTGAATTTGTCTCATCACGATCATTATGTTCAGCTTTCTGTAGAGTAGAATAAAAATTGTTTAGATAATTGTGTTTGCACACATACATGTACAACAAATGTATAATGTTTAGGTGATCAGGATAATTGGAAAGCAAAACTATAACCTTAAGTCCCTGCAGCTACCTGTACAATGCATGCCATGGTGAATGACAGCCTGAAGAGGATCAACTTCAAAATGTTTTTAATTGTTTATCTTTGACCCACCATAAATGCTATAAGCAAATTACTTTGCTTACTTTTGATGACTAGAAATACATATATAGATTATATACAATATGTGTATAATATTATATACAGAGATATATATTCAGGCTCTATTTTGAAACAATATGAACAAGGGAGATAACTTGAGATGAAGTTACGATATAAAAAATCCAGTTTCACTATTTCAGGGTCAGTGTTCAAGTCCTTGTCCCATGAAGCCACAAAACTGTCTTTAGCATTTTCATCCCCACCTCTGCCAGATGAAAAGGTAAGTAGCAATGAGTTTTCTTGTGTTTTAAGCCTGGTACAGAATTACTTTTCCACATTGTTGACAGACAAGGCCTTAGATTTCTGATTTGAATACAGAATGATGTAGGAACTACATTATCATGGCTCCATGTCTCAAAGTATTTAAGATCACTTGTCCAAAAGCAGTTACAAAAAAAAACAGGTATCAATAAAACTATTACAGATGACATTTACAAAACAAACAAATACTTAAGTCTGGCTATGGTAACTAGAATATAATATATGTTACATGTACTTTTATCAGAATTGTAACATACAGTAAGTGAAGTTGACATGCCACCAATATACTATCACAATGATGATAATGGTATTATATTGACTTTACAATGTACTCCAAATACAGACATGTAAATCTCTGGTGGACACATGTGAGAAAGCTACACTGGGCCTTGTCTCCTTGTTCTACAGCCTTCCCAAATATCAGGGTGAGTATTTAGTATATTGTCTTCCTGTTTAACTGCCTCCTCAGATCTCAGCTAGGGACAGTATATTCCCTGTATCTCACTGTTCTATAGACCTCCCCTCCTCAGATCTCAGCTAGGGACAGTCTATCCCTGTATCTCACTGTTCTATAGCCCTCCCCCTCCTCAGATCTCAGCTAGGGACAGTCTATCCCTGTATCTCACTGTTCTATAGACCTCCCCTCCTCAGATCTCAGCTAGGGACAGTATATTCCCTGTATCTCACTGTTTTATAGACCGCCCCTCCTCAGATCTCAGCTAGGGACAGTATATTCCCTGTATCTTGCTGTTTTACTGCCTTCTAATTCCAAAAACAACTAAGACCTTTCAGCATATTTTAGTGTTGCAAAAATGTGTTTCTATTTTCTGTCTTTGTATTTATTGATTGTTTTAGAATTTTTTTTTTGGTAAAAAAAAAGGAGAGGTTTTATACCTGCATCAATAGCAGCATAATGCAATAGTATGTTTAACTTTTTTAACTTTCATGTCCAGCACCAAGTGAGCCCAAAGAATTCTAAATATTTAAATTTGAAAACCAGTCCATGTTCTTCAGGAAAATATGTCTACCCCTAGTAAGAAAAAATATGTTTTTCCCCTTGGCTTTAAAATATTACTATTTCATGGACACTTGATTTCTTGGACAAATGTAGCTCTGTACATCTACTTATAATTGTACACTTATCTAAACAGTTCATGGATAAATGAATGACTAGATTATATGAATGACTGGATTAGGAGAACCAAGCAAATCACCATTTAAATTAATATTTTTGCCGTATATTGCTGTAGCTAAGATGACAGCACACTGCTGTATACTGTATGAAGATGGTCTGAGATGGTCTTTGCTAATTGCTGACCTTCTGTTACAGGTCTGTATCTGAGAAAGTCTCTAAAATCAGCTGTGCTGGGTGTGTTACAGGACCTCCAGACTTTGGTACATGTTTTACATGACAGTGGTGCTGGGTATGTACATATCAGATAACTCTGTAGATTTCATTGTGTTCGTATTTTTAGAAACAGTGAATTATTCACATCAGGTTTGGGGCTAATTATCTTCACTATATTAGAAGTATATGGACCAGTTTCACCACGGTGTTATCTACACTATATTAGAAGTATATGGACCAGTTTCACCCAATGTGTTATCTACACTATATTAGAAGTATATGGACCAGTTTCACCCTATGTGCTATCTACACTATATTAGAAGTATATGGACCAGTTTCACCCTATGTGTTATCTACACTATATTAGAAGTATATGGACCAGTTTCACCCTATGTGTTATCTACACTATATTAGAAGTATATGGACCAGTTTCACCCAGGTGTTATCTACACTATATTAGAAGTATATAGACCAGTTTCACCCTATGTGCTATCTACACTATATTAGAAGTATATGGACCAGTTTCACCCTATGTGCTATCTACACTATATTAGAAGTATATGGACCAGTTTCACCCAATGTGTTATCTACACTATATTAGAAGTATATGGACCAGTTTCACCCTATGTGTTATCTACACTATATTAGAAGTATATGGACCAGTTTCACCCAGGTGTTATCTACACTATATTAGAAGTATATGGACCAGTTTCACCCAATGTGTTATCTACACTATATTAGAAGTATATGGACCAGTTTCACCCAATGTGTTATCTACACTATATTAGAAGTATATAGACCAGTTTCACCCTATGTGCTATCTACACTATATTAGAAGTATATGGACCAGTTTCACCCTATGTGCTATCTACACTATATTAGAAGTATATGGACCAGTTTCACCCAATGTGTTATCTACACTATATTAGAATTATAGGGACCACTTTCACCCAATGTGTTATCTACACTATATTAGAAGTATATGGACCAGTTTCACCCAATGAAGTATATGGACCAGTTTTACCCAATGTGTTATCTACACTATATTAGAAGTATATGGACCAGTTTTACCCTATGTGTTATCTACACTATATTAGAAGTATATGGACCAGTTTTACCCTATGTGTTATCTACACTATATTAGAAGTATATGGACCAGTTTCACCCTATGTGCTATCTACACTATATTAGAAGTATATGGACCAGTTTCACCCTATGTGTTATCTACACTATATTAGAAGTATATGGACCAGTTTTACCCTATGTGTTATCTACACTATATTAGAAGTATATGGACCAGTTTCACCCAATGTGTTATCTACACTATATTAGAAGTATATGGACCAGTTTCACCCAATGTGTTATCTACACTATATTAGAAGTATATGGACCAGTTTTTACCCTATGTGCTATCTACACTATATTAGAAGTATATAGACCAGTTTCACCCTATGTGTTATCTACACTATATTAGAAGTATATGGACCAGTTTTACCCTATGTGTTATCTACACTATATTAGAAGTATATGGACCAGTTTCACCCTATGTGCTATCTACACTATATTAGAAGTATATGGACCAGTTTCACCCTATGTGTTATCTACACTATATTAGAAGTATATGGACCAGTTTTACCCTATGTGTTATCTACACTATATTAGAATTATAGGGACCACTTTCACCCAATGTGTTATCTACACTATATTAGAAGTATATGGACCAGTTTCACCCAATGTGCTATCTACACTATATTAGAAGTATATGGACCAGTTTCACCCAATGTGTTATCTACACTATATTAGAAGTATATGGACCAGTTTCACCCAATGTGTTATCTACACTATATTAGAAGTATATGGACCAGTTTCACCCAATGTGTTATCTACACTATATTAGAAGTATATGGACCAGTTTCACCCAATGTGTTATCTACACTATATTAGAAGTATATGGACCAGTTTTACCCAATGTGTTATCTACACTATATTAGAAGTATATGGACCAGTTTTACCCAGGTGTTATCTACACTATATTAGAAGTATATGGACCAGTTTTACCCAGGTGTTATCTACACTATATTAGAAGTATATGGACCAGTTTTACCCTATGTGTTATCTACACTATATTAGAAGTATATGGACCAGTTTCACCCAGGTGTTATCTACACTATATTAGAAGTATATGGACCAGTTTCACCCTATGTGCTATCTACACTATATTAGAAGTATATGGACCAGTTTTACCCTATGTGTTATCTACACTATATTAGAAGTATATGGACCAGTTTTACCCAATGTGTTATCTACACTAAATTAGAAGTATATGGACCAGTTTTACCCAGGTGTTATCTACACTATATTAGAAGTATATGGACCAGTTTCACCCAGGTGTTATCTACACTATATTAGAAGTATATGGACCAGTTTCACCCTATGTGCTATCTACACTATATTAGAAGTATATGGACCAGTTTTACCCAGGTGTTATCTACACTATATTAGAAGTATATGGACCAGTTTTACCCAATGTGTTATCTACACTATATTAGAAGTATATGGACCAGTTTTACCCAGGTGTTATCTACACTATATTAGAAGTATATGGACCAGTTTTACCCAATGTGTTATCTACACTATATTAGAATTATATGGACCAGTTTTACCCTATGCGTCATACTTCTACTTCTGATATACCAAAAATATTGACACACATATAATCATGATTTTATCAACTATATCAGCTACTACAGTGTTGGCCATATCTTCCCTATTTGAGAGCAATTAAATTTGTTTGTAGTTCCACTGAACAGCTGCAATCTACTGGGATAGTATGGCAGGACACAGACAGATTCTCCAGTCTTCCTAAAGGTATGTCAACTTGTCCCATTGTCTTCTGGTAACACATCCTCTGTTACACTGATATTAAAGTGCTCTTGTATGATGATCTGTCCTTCTCTCAAACTTCATTGAGGATCACCCATCTCACTTTTGCTCTGGAAGGACATTGCAGCTTATCATGAATCAATTTAGCTCACTACCAATCTGATGACAGAATATTGGGTGGTGCAGTGGTAAAACACTAGCCTTTTTACTAGGTCACTGGGCTTAGATTTGCTGACCAGACCAGATATAAAATGGTATGGGATCGCTTACAGACCACAAGGGTTTTCCCTGGATACTCCGGCTTCCTCCCAAAGGAAGACCCCTTGCATGCTTCCATCTGAGCTAACAGAGTAATTGATGGGTGTTGATGGCTTGATTTCTAGTCAATGTAAACTAAAGAAAGATTATATATCAATGAAAAAATTGTTGAAAACCCTGACAATAGATGTATTATTATTATTTATGCTTGGACGGCACTTGTAGTTGATTGTTAATGTATCTCACCATATAAAATGAATTTGCCATAAATAGTTTTATGTCACATTGACAGTAGTGGTTTTGTGTCACATTGACAGTAGTGGTTTTATGTCACATTGACAGTGGTTTTGTGTCACATTGACAGTAGTAGTTTTGTGTCACATTGACAGTAGTGGTTTGATGTCACATTGACAGTAGTGGTTTTGTGTCACATTGACAGTAGTGGTTTTGTGTCACATTGACAGTAGTGGTTTTATGTTGCATTGACAGTAGTGGTTTTATGTCGTATTGGCAGTAGTGGTTATATGTCACATTGACAGTATTGGTTTTGTGTCACATTGACAGTAGTGGTTTTGTGTCACATTGACAGTAGTGGTTTTGTGTCACATTGACCGTAGTAGTTTTGTGTTACATTGACAGTAGTGGTTATATGTCACTTTTATTGTGCCGCCTGCAGAGCTGGATCACTTTGTCCGCCGTCACGTGTCGGCGGTGTCCGTACAAAAGTTTTCCGAACTTTTTTACGGTCATGCTTAGAGTTATCCAAATTAAATTTAGTATATGTCTTCTTGTTAGAAGGGTACAGTTTAAGTTCGATTTCCGGCTGTCTGTGACCCTTCTTGGCAGAGTAATGCCCCTTTGAACATAGAAAATTCTCTAGGAATTTTGTTTTCCGGACTTTTTTGGGTTATCCTTTGAGTTATTGAAATGAAATTTGGTAGACAGCTTCTTGTTGGAAGGTTACAGAATAAGTTCGATTCCTGGCTGTCTGTTACCTTTCTTGGCAGAGTTATGTCCCTTTGAACTTAGAAAATTCTCTGGGAATATTGTTTTCTGGACTTACTTTGGTTATGCTTTGAGTTATAGAAATGAAATTTGGTATATGGCTTCTTGTTGGAAGCGTACAGTTTAGTTTTGACATCCATTCGATTTCTGGGTACCATGACACTTTATGCAGGCGACATATACAGTTATGAGGAACTCTTGTATTATGCTTTGTGTTGACTGATTGGGTAACATTTAATGAACCTGTTATTTATTTCAGACAACAAAGAAGCTGTGTTGGGGTTAATGAAAGTAACATCAGAGTTGGTGAGGGATGCCCTGGGTGAAATGCAGGATGTAAGTTATATTTTGATATACCAAGTTCTATGTATGCTTATTATGTTGATAAGACTAGATGTAAGAAAATTTCATGAAAAAACAAAGGAAAATGACTTATAAAAGGAAGAAATTATGCTAGATATTGTTACAGATAGATTGTTGGAAGATAAAATTATATAATATTTCTAACAAAATTTAATAAGCATGGAATTTTCTATCACTTGATTTTGGTATATTTAAGATGTATATTTTTTAGCCCACGAGCCAACCATTTGATGATGTTGGGCAAATCACACTGTTGTTTATTAATAGCACCTCTATATATCTTCCACCTGTCATTTCATCTGTTAGCAACTTTTGATAATCATTGTACTTTAAATATACTGAAATTTGCTGTACCACTCTTTTACAAATTAGTACAATGTTGATTCTGTGCATCAACAATAATTGTTATATGAACAAGATAGAGAAACTGCAATTAGCCCAATCATTTTAGCATAACACTTTCACTGTCAAAAGTGCTAAAATAAGATTACCACCAAGTTATCAATGTTAACAGTACTTTATAAACACAATGTTTCAAAATTTTTTGAAAATTTTACTCTTAAATCAGGGATAACAGAAATGTGCTCTCTAATTTGTTGTTTTATGGAAGGACCTCACTAGACATATAGACACAATATTACTCGCAGTGACAGTATCTGTAGATGTGAAAGGGCTTGGTTACATTTATTGCTTTTTTTCTGGTAAGTGTATAGTTTCTCTCATCAGGCTGTGGAGAATGGTCCAGCTAATGACCTGGCTGAGGTTTTTGGGTTGGAAATGGATGAACCCTCTAATGAGGACACATGGTCAGAAACTGACAAGACATTACTAGGTCCGTGTCTTGGTCTACTAAAGACATCTCGATCGCTTCTAAAGAAGTCTCGGGAAAGTGTCAGCAAGAGGGCGTCCTGTCACTGTACGGATCAAATATCACAGTTAGACGACTTAGCTGATTACATTGGGCGTCTTAGTCCAGTAGTAGATGAGTTTGCTTCCAGTCTTTATCCGCCAATGAAGTACTCGTCCGTACAGGAAAATGTAAGTCACTGGTATATGTACATCCGTACAGGAAAATGTAAGTCACTAGTGCATGTATATATTTCAATTAAAAGATGATATTTGAATGATTTCCTGGTCTATATCTTATATAGCTCATGATCATAATTTAAACTGACGAGCTCTCCTTCTGCAAATTTACAATAAACAAAAACTATTGGATAACAGGTTTTTATAGCATGAATGAGGTGTTGACTAACTTAAATACGTTTATATTATATTAAAACAGAAAAGGTTTGTGTTTGACATTGCCCCTTGAATATCTGTTATCATTTTATGGTGTACTGAGAGTCTATTGCAGATTTTTACCAGAGGAAACACATCATAAATCCAATCTCGCTTACATTTTTCAGGCTAAAGATTTGTACAACCTACAAAGGACAATCCTAAGTTTTTACCAGTAAGTATGTACCACTGTATCCCGATGATCAAAGGGTTATCAAGTCAGAGTGGTAAGATCACTTTGTGACTTAGCCACGATTTTCAGGGGATGTATGTAGGCTATCACTTATGGGGTCACAAAAAGGTGTCCATTATCATGTGTATATTCCTCTAGATCTCTTGTATAACAAAACAGGCAGCCATTTTGCTATAAAAATAAAATGGCTGGTAGGCAGCAATCTCTGGCTTTTGATCTGTTATTGCTTCCAGTATTTCTGGAGGAGTATTGGATGAATGTTGTTCAGTTTCTTATACAGGTTCATCTCGGCTCTTTGTTTTTTTTGTTGAATTTTGAAATTTTAATAAACAAAATGGCTGGCAGACAGTCATCTTTTGACATATGAAGGTTTGTCGTATTAATTTCACCAGGTGATTGGTTAATCTGTTAATACAAAGAATGATTACACTGAAAGAGCTGAGAATTGAGAATAAATATAGAACGATAGAATGGTGGATGCTAAGATCTCTCAGGACTCTTATAAATGTCTCCAAGGTCACTGTAATGATTCAGAAATGTAATGAATACCGTTCTTAATAATCAGGCTTTTACAAGTTACAAGTCAATATCATTGAGAAAATCTGGTGAAATTGTAAAGTATGAAGAAAATTTGTGTGTGATCAATTCTTCATTTCTTTTGAAAACATTTATTTTAAGATAATTTGAAAGAGTAAGTTCTTTTATAATTTTCGTTGTTTTTATGTTAAGGTGTATATAGCTAACAAAGACATGATCATTGATTTCTATCCAGGAAATGTCACATGTGTAATGAAGATGACCAGAAATGGGTGGAGTTCCTTTTGAAAGCCAATCAACATAACTGGGAGAACATTAAACAGTGTACAGACACCGGCCATGAAAAAGTCACCTGAGTAGAGCAGTCCCCAACCTTATTACCCGAGCTGATTACAGTTTACTATAACATAGGATTTTTATCCTAATGGATGGGAGAATGACAGCAATGGTATCATCTCCACAGCATAATTTACTCTGTGTCTTGTGATGGTTAACTTATAGGTAACAGCTGCTGAATGAAATATCAGTCTGTGACAACCATTGGACATGACATAAACGGTACGATATATCTTTTATATATATCTTATATATGTTTTATCTACAAGGGCTAGACTTCCCAAATTTGACTTTTACAAATTAATAAATGCATTTGACTAGATGAGAGATAAAGACTGTTACACATGATCATTGGTAATAAATAATTTATGGTTGGTAGATAATATTTGTTGGGTTTTTAATTTTAATTTTTATTTGCAGTCATTTAAGAAACCCCAAAATTAAGAAATAAAATGTAAAACAAGTTTACAGTAAATCAGATTCTCAGAAAGTTTTCCTGTATACATGGATACCAGCCGATAGACAAATGTGAAATTTAGTCTCCATAATCTAGCCTGATCAGGGACAACCCAAATTATTTAACCTTCATAAACAAACTACATTGTTGTATACAGTAACAATAGTTACTAAGTGTTGTTAATGCTGGAGGTGATAATTGATTATTTAAGGTACTACAGATGTGTTTAAGAATTATTCGTTTAGTATAGAGAGATGTATAAGATGGTGTCATTTTTTATGAAGACTGATTCCCTACTTTGGACCTCTACATATTTAGATCCCTTATATCATTTTGCATATCTAGATTTTACTAAACAAAACATGTATCATCTTTAAGGGAACATCAGAGACAAGGTTGTACCAGGGAATTGTCCTGATGAAGCTTTAGAATTTGGTTAATAAACTAATTTCTTTATCAAGTTTGTGTTGGTTGAACATTTTGTGATTAACAATTGCCTCAACTGGCAACAACCCCTGTCCCCCTCCCCAAACCCTCTACACACACACATGTGAAATGAAATGAAACAAAAAAATCAAATTAAAGAAACATGTTTAGTTTGTGTACAACATTAAAATTTTTCACTCGTGCCACTATGTCCTAAGCTGAGACATGAAAAAAATTGAAGTTCCTTACAAACATTTTATGGAATTTAATGCTGATATAGAAATGTAATGTCAACATATGTTTACGTGCTCATACCAGATCAAATTCAAGGAGGCAAGGGAATGAAGTCAAAGGTTTCCTTGAAGTAACTTTATGATATCAAGTATAGACACACCTATCTATAAATGCTTTACTGTATTTGATATAGTAATTGACATCCGTCCATTATGTCTGTCCGTTGTCCTTTGACAACCTTTTCCTTTAACTTCTCAATAGCCAATGAACCAAATGTTTTAATATTTGGCTGGTATGTCCCTAGGATAAAGCCCGACAAAGTTTGTGAAAAGAAATTATCTTGACCTATATTCAAGGTCACAGGGGTCAAATTTTTTATTTGTTACTGCAGTTATTGTAGCCATGTATCCATTCGAAATATGCTTAAATTATGCAAATGTGAACATTTGCTGTTATTGCTCTGTGAGTATTTTGAGTGTTTTTGCTTTATTAGTTGTTTTCTATTAAGGACTACACTGGAATGTTCCTTCCATCTTTCCATTTTTCTGTCTTCGCCTGTAGTGATCTCTCCCTTCCGATCCATGACAGCTACATACCTGCTATTTAGCCCCACACTAATTAGTCTTTCATCGCCGCTTCCAATTCTATCAAGGCTTTGTTTCTTGTAGGACTTGTTAGAAATGCCGCTCATTGATAAGTACATGTTCTCACCTATCAGCATATAATCGTATTAGATGGGATTTCGTATAACACAACCCGAAGAAGATTTAAGTGTGACGCTCCGATGACAACACGGCCACATTCTTCAGACAAATGACCAGTGTGAAGGGTACTGGCACTAAGTACGTAATGTAAGAGATAAGGAATCACCCAATTGTTTCGTAGCCGAATTGACCACAATACACTGTTACCATCATGTGTACTTTTTCTAGAAAATATCTACCATCTCGTCACACCATTTTTCTACCTCATAGAAAAAACATCAAGAAAATACCAACATGGCAACATAATCATAATTCAAACTCAAATTCCATAAAACTAGGGCAAAATAAGTACAAAAGATTAACATGGAGACTCGTGAAAAAGTATAAGGATGATAAGACCAGGTGTTCCGGAATAGTAAGCGTCTCATGCTTCATCATCAATACCTGTCATGTATACCTTGGTCGATCCAAGTAAGCAATGTCACGTTCCTCAATGATAGGAAGGTATAAAACCGAACCAACAGGCAAACTAACGAGCATCAAACACGTCCAGCTTCATGTCACACAAAGAAATAGAATATAGAACTATAGAAATATCATGTACGTGTATTTCATACTAGCTTTTGTTTCGGACTAAAGGTTATAGAATTCCAATGATATGGAGTATATTACCTTGTCATCGCTTAAGTTATGTGTCTCTTGACAAAATGAAAAGATATAGACTCAACTTCAGGAGAATTCTTTATTGAAAGCCAAGCGCTTAGATAATGGAAATATTCAGAACTACAAAATAGGATGTTACATTCAAAACAAAAAACAATAGTATATATATATTTGTGAATTGATCAAATGTTATGAAGATTTATTTGAATTTCATCTTATCAGAATAATCATGTAAGGTCAGTTTGTATAGAATCAAGAGTTTGTAATTACATGCGATAGATATCAAATCTTTATTTTGAAATAAGGTACACAATTACTGTCAAAATATATGTTTAAAAAAATCTGGCAACTCATGAAAACCCATGTAGTGAAAGCAACTGACATAGAATAAAAATGATCATTGTTATTTGTGATATTACATCTACTTTAGGAAAAAACTCTTCTTAAACAATTAACATGTCACAAAGTAAGCGACGATTTCAGTTCGACGATAAACCGGATTCCCAAGCAACTTTCACGACGACAGACTGTCAGACAGAGTTATTGTTTCTTCTACTATTGTATAGTAGCTCTACTTTAAAGGCAAAGTGATCTTAACACTGAGTTTGTTTTGGTGTGACTCGAGACAATGGAAAATCCACTAACCATAACAGTTTAACATTTTGGGTGAATCTTGACTCAGCCTGTGGAGCTACAAAGTTGTTATCGAAATCTACCCAACTATTGCGATCAACATCTATTTGGCAAGTTTCTTTCACAGATGGTTCTTAAGTATTGTTTTTAATTCTCATCATTCCTAATTTATCTATAATCATTGCAACATGTGGACTGTTTATATAAAATATGGTGAAACAATTGGTTATATATAGTAAATATTTGATAAAGCATGCAGACCAATCAAAAGCATTAGTTGAAAAAAATATATATACTTATACAAGCAGAGACTAAGCACACAATGGCATACATAGTGATCCTAGAAACTTTTCAGTGGTTGGGTATATGAATAAGTCAGTTAAAGGTTTCTTCAGAGGGTTGTCTTCTCCTTCCTCTCCAGGCCAAGACCCCGAACACGGCAGCGACAACTGCCAACACGGCGCATAACCCTGTCACGGCCACCAAGGCTGTAGACTGTCCACCTACAACACCTGAAATAGGTCAAGACTTTTAATGAAAACGAGCAAAGACGTTCTGAAAAATAAACAAAATATTCAGTAAATCATGATAAAATTCTCAACTTTAATTTAACCGGTTTTTTTACAGAATTTTACGATTACTAGGATTCCTTTGCAAGTAGAACTCCCGAACTCTCTCCTAACTGCCATGCCAATAGTACTCCGTTATACTGAGGTAGGCGAGTCATATGGCAGAAGGTTAATTTGTATGACGCGTTTCCATACATAGGACTCGGATAAATAAAAAAAACACGCAGAAAAATGTGTATGAACTGGATATGACTTACTTTGTTCCTTATCATTGGTCACTGGGAAAGGCCCTGTAGACACCATATGGGTCTTCATTGCTCCTACCGCGGCTCGACGTGACCTGCCAACTACGTTGTTGGTACATCCAGTAACACACTGTGGGTTACTCAGGGGACATACATAAACCTCACAGTGTACATACACAGGTGCGCCCGGGTGGTTGATAAACTGGAAGGCATGGAAGGAGAGGTGCACTTCATACGTTGGAGAGCTGTGAATAGTCACGGAAGAAATGGCCGGACATCTGCAATTATGAACAGCATATATCAATGCTAGTTAACATTGTATTATAGTGAAACAATTCCAGAAAAAACAACTTTGGCGTTTAGAAATGTTTCTTAAAGTAAACGTATCCATTGTGAGAACATTTGATGTATGGACTATAATCATATCACTTAATTATCATATTGTGTTATGAAGACATCACAACTCACTGTACAGATGATGATTGTGTTAGGCATCTGGATCATACTTATCGAGATATGTTGGTTTCTCTTTGGGAAACATGCCATTTGCTAATGCGATATGAAGCTGGCTAGTTTGTCTGTTAGTTCTGTTGTTGTTTACATGTTCTCATTAGGACCTTAACATAACATCCTTGAGTAGATCGAGAAGATGTTTAGGTCTTCCTTTATGTTCCTTGTACTTTTCAGAAATCTCCATGTTAGTCTTTCTTTTGTTACTCTTTGTCCGATATTTATTTGCGTTCTGATGCTGATTTTATTGGTATGACAATATTTAGTTAGTTTGATATCTAGTGGTGACGATGGTCTATCTAATGTTTTCTAGTCAGTTTCGCATGGCCATGATTACTTACCCATCATTGGTCAGTTCCTGGAATTCGGTATCAAGTGGTGAAGGTGACGGGGTTGCCAGACAACGGTCAACATTGATGGCCACTTTTGTCCGAGTCCCTTGGTCTGTGGTCAGTTTGATGTAAACTGGGTCGTTGAGGCGAACTGCGCGTGGCTCATTCTGATTTTGATAAGTTTCGGAAAATGTCAAATCACGTGCTTGCCTCATGTGGACCTGCATATGACCCAGTGTCTTCTCGAAGAAGCGAACTTGTCCTTGTACTGGAAGGAAGGCAGTGGTTTCTTGTTCACGTCTAGGATAGACGCACTGGACCAAGACTACAGAATTCATCTCGGATCCGAAATCAATTCCCGAGTTGCTTGAAGTAACATTTACGTTTGTATCGCGAGGAACAAGCTCATTCTCAAACGTCACGTGCGAACTGTTGAACACCACGTATGTTCCACAATCGCCCAGACCAATATGTCCGGTCAAGTGTGTCCCGTTGTCAGCTACGACGCATGAGGGGTCATTCCATGTCACTTGCTGACCAGCCGGCAACAGATGGAGTGGAACATGAAGTGAGATGGTGTCGCTATTACAGTCGATGTCTGACCTGATGACTGGTGGTTGTTCCGTTGTAGAGACATTCTCGCTGACAGGAGTGGAAGCAGCTGTAAAAGGCAAGAGAAAAAGGCATTGAAATAATTAGATACTACAATGTCACTGAAAGAAAAGTTTATGATTAGTTGGCTGAAATGTAAAATCGTTAATGTTGTTAGTCCCTAACGCTATTTTACGCGAATGGACACCGCGACGCGAGTTCTTTGTCTGTCACCCCTCTACTGCTCCTCTTCTCCAGCAACTAAATACCGAATCTACGCGAGGGGAACAAAACAAGGTCATTATTAACATTGATTATGTCAAATATTTGTGAAAGTGACTTTATTAATGAATTGACTTAAAGATCACAGTATATATTGGTTATTTTTAGTCTGAACACCAATTAATTTCAAAGAAAGTATAACAAATGACACACTGAACTTTACGGAAAAGTTTATCCGATAAATAGCAAAAAGTCTTTAAACATCAAGAAAGAATACTTTGAAAGGTTTTCATTTAAATGTATGAATCATACTTACTTTGTTGATCTGCTGTATATCGATATTATACTTTTAGCCGTTAACACATTAACCACCAGAGACACTGAAGATATAAGATTTGCAAAATTTGTCGTGAAAAGGGATAGCTGCCTACACAATATTTTTCTATTCATCTGATATAGCATTTGAAGATTTCAGAAACAGTAAGAATAAAGTGCCAAAACTAGAAAAATTGGTGTTGGTGTAAAGAAGTGAAGAGTTTCGGGAATTCGTTCCGTTTAAAATTTGTTGTTATAACCAGAAAAATATTTTGTGTGTTGTCGTCAATCGTTGGTTTAAATTGTGGCGATTTGATATCTATTTTGGCTCGGTGGTTGATCCCATGTAATAACTGGATATAGAGGGATACATCCGGATATCCCAAGTATTTCCTTGATAAAGAGGGGGGCATCCGGGTATCCCAAGGAATTCCTGGATAAGAGGGGGCACATCCGGGTATCCCAAGTGATTCTTGGATACACAGAGTAGACATCCGCTTATCGGTCAGTCGTTCTGTAATAAGAAAACAATAAATGTGGTTGGTTGTTCCTTAAGCATATTTAGAATGGAACATAAACTAGAGAATTTGAAATAGATATTAACATTTAAATTCTACGAAGGTGTAAATATTATTGCTGGAATTATACCAACAAAACTATTCATACCACCAATTACAATGTAAGGGAAATCACAACAGCCATGGGTAAACGGCAACATCTCAAGACATATCCTGGTAGTGTTGGACTACTTGAATACAAAGAATGCCGTATTTGGAGATATCGGATATTTAAAGATTATGCAGTTAAACATTCCACACCAGGGACTATAAATAAATCAACCAATAAACCAACCAGTTGCGAAACAAGTTTTCCATCTTACATAAATCACTCATGTTGGCCTGGAGCGAAGTGTGCGAGGGGTCCCCGGAGTATCCGGGGAAAACCCCCATGGTCGGGCAGGTGAACCCATACCTTTTCACGTCCTCCAGGAATCGAACCCCGTACATCAAGGTGAAAGGCGAATGTTTTACCACTGCGCCACCCGACCATCAGGGACTATCAAACGAAACACCATAGAGAAAACAAAAACAAAACTGAATAGAGGAAGCAAATAGAAGACAGCACCACGAAACAGATGTAGATAGGGAATTATATCCGAGAATAGAACTTACTTGTACTCCGATTTAACTGAATAAGCTTAATTTAAACAACATTAATTTAGCATAGTTCGGAAATGCCATTTCACAATACTTTTGATATTTTCGATTTGGACACAGAGCCAATTATGTTTTGCCTGCACCCCTAAAGAATTTTAATGTTAATTAATAATCCAACAATCCCGAAACTAACCGTATCCATTTTCTTTTTATGTGTGATTTTATCTGACATTTCGAAAGCATGGAACGTCGATATCATTATGGAAAATTGGGCCTTGATCTAACTTCCCATGTAAAGTTTCTTTAATCCAAAAATGTCTAAATCACTTGAACTCATAGCCGAAGTTTGACTATGGCTATGGATGAGATAGAAACTAGTTTAATTTTCTATAGAAGAAAGGTTCTTATCAGTATTTGAAATGTATCTAAAACAGCAAAATTAAGGTTAAAATCCAATAGGTAATGAGACTTTAAAACGGTGTATTGTGTAGTGATTATTCAAAGATTAAGCTAAGCTAACATATATGTATGTGTTTTTAGGATTTAGTATAAGTACCGTTAACTTGTACGACAGTAGTCGGCTACTGGGGAGACACAAATTGTATCAGAAATCAGTGTAAAGGACAACAAAACAGCAGAGTCGATAACAGGGTAGACACCAAATAATAGTATTAGAAATCAATAAATGGAGACACAACAAAAACAGCAGAGAGTCGATAACAGAGGAGACACCAAATAGTAGTATCAGAAATCAATACACGGAGACACAACAAAACAGCAGAGTCGATAACAGGGTAGACACCAAATAGTAGTATCAGAAATCAGTACACGGAGACACAACAAAACAGCAGAGTCGATAACAGGGTAGACACCAAATAGTAGTATCAGAAATCAGTACACGGAGACACAACAAAACAGCAGAGTCGATAACAGGGTAGACACCAAATAGTAGTATCAGAAATCAGTAAAAGAGACAACAAAACAGCAGAGTCGATAACAGGGTAGACACCAAATAGTAGTATCAGAAATCAGTACACGGAGACACAACAAAACAGCAGAGTCGATAACAGAGGAGACACCAAATAGTAGTATCAGAAATCAGTAAATAAGCAACGGAGGAAGCAAACGGAAATTACCAGAACATCAGGAAATAAAACCGGAGAGACGTACATTACCTACAAGTTCTGAGCACGGGATCGGTTTCTTGAGAGAGTAACGTTTCCGGAACGCTTATGACAAATAACGTATATCACGTGATGTCTAGCAACGTATCTAAAGGACTCTCAATGACTTTTTCAATAAATTGTATCACTTATACAGTTTTATGTAAGAATGTCAGAAAATTTATCTGTCCTGTAATAAAAAAAAAACGAATTGTTGACAAGAGGCGTGACGTTATAACCAAGAAACCAACTGCTAGGAAACAGACGAGCTTAGATTGTAAATAAAAAGATTTATAATTCACCGATTGTAGTGTAAAGTAAATAAAGGACAGACAAGGAAGTCCTGTCTGGCTGGCGACATGATAACAACGTATCTCGGAGACGTGAGTATGGTGTCGTAACAACCAGCAGGTGACAGAGGTGACCGGTGTAGGAGACACGTGACAGATAACAGTTAGAGATACTGAAGATATCTTCACAACAATTCATGATATTCAAGTTCACCAGAAAGGAAACATTTCAGAGCACCATATGAATTAATTTAAAATAATATGCAACACCATTCATATTTCGATAACTCCGCTAAACATCTTTAGTTTCCAATAAATAATCTAAATTGCAAGATTTATTTTATATACGAAATTCATTAAAATTTGTTTCGAAATACACACAAATGTAGAATATTTTAGACAAACGGAATTAACCAGCAGGCAAAGTGTATGAAATCCCTATCCATACTATTTTAACAACATATACTCATCAGTCAAATAGCAATTGAATTAGAAAAAAAAGGAATTATATTATAATTCGCGAAATAATTACTAACAGATGTGGTAGCCATACTATCATTTTTGCAGAAAAGCCGAGACAAGGATTTGTAAAACGAAAGTAAAAAGAACGACGACCAATGCCAGCGTGCAGCTCGAAAAAGAGGACTAGATAGACATCCAAACAAGAGATTAAAAACCCTGGCAAATATGAAATCACTCAAAACGAGACTAAATTTTATCAGGAACAGACGAAACTGTAGTAGGTACCGAGGAGACTGTAAAAACCAAACGAAAATATCAGCGGGAACTAAGAAGCAAAAGGAAATCAATGTTAAGAATTGATCAGAGAGGCTGAAAATTCAATGATTGCAGCAACAGACTGAAGTACAACAAAATGCGGGAAGTTAACATTTCATTTTCAACAGAATTCTGAATGTTAACTATTAACTGGCCCTATACTTATTGTAATACGCTTGATCTTGCTTGAAATATATCAGTTCCTACAAGTGTTTTTAAGAGCATCGTCATAAGTACAGAAAAAAATCTGTGTCGCCATGAGAATTACTTAGAACGGGGAATAAAGTAGTCAGTTAATTTGTTTTAATTCACAAAGACTGATGGACTCATTAATTCACATAGACCGACGAACTCATTAATTCACAAAGACACATAGACTCACTAATTCACAAAGACACATGGACTAATTAATTCACATAGACAGATGGACTCACAAATTCACAAAGACACATAGACTCACTAATTCACAAAGACACATGGACTAATTAATTCACATAGACAGATGGACTCACTAATTCACAAAGACACATAGACTCACTAATTCACAAAGACACATGGACTAATTAATTCACATAGACAGATGGACTCACTAATTCACAAAGACACATAGACTCACTAATTCACAAAGACACATGGACTAATTAATTCACATAGACAGATGGACTCACTAATTCACAAAGACACATGGACTCATTAATTCACAAAGACACATGGACTAATTAATTCACATAGACAGATGGACTAACTAATTCACAAAGTCTGATGGACTCATTAATTCACATAGACTGATAGACTCATTAATTCACAAAGACAGAATTAAGATGGAAAAGAACACCCACTGTCAACTCTGTTTCGACTGTACTGTGTTTGAAGGCAGGCATTATATATTACTTAATCTTTCATTAGTCGAAACAAACCATATTATTATTGTAATTGAAATATGAACTGAAAAAAATGACATTAATTGTCAGAAACCATGGGAACTGAATCAAGTAATTAAGAAATTGATATAAATTTACAAATTTCTTAATAATCTGGAAATGAAAAAAATAATATTACCTTTCAAACAACTCGTCATGGTCTTCAAGCACCGGAGGATCTGATCACAGCTAGGGTGCTCGGTCATTTTTATCGCCTCCCACTAGGCAAACGTCAGGAAGTTTTAAGTGCA